CCATATTAGAATATAGTTTCTCATGTACGAGACAAAATCTCGCATTTTAAAATTTTATTTATTTACAAATTGGTATAAGAATAATTTCTACAAAATAAAAAGTGATAAAAATATGTTATTTTATCAAAAAAATCAATTAAAATATAAAAAAAATAAATATTTTCAAAAGATAAATTTCAAAAAAATTGTTACCAATGGTAGAATAAGACTAGCTAGAGAGGACTTTAGGTCATCACACTTTTATATAGACACATTGACAAAATGGTTTTGTGTCTGGCATGGAAAGTTAGCGCAAAGAAAGAGTAAAGGCAAAAACCCAAATGAAAAATAATTGCACCAATTTTTTTGTAATACTTACTTGGTATAATAATTTCTTTTCCATTTTCCTTTTTAGATTATTCAAAAAAAATTCTCGGGAGCTACTTTTTATTTTGACAATTTCTTTTAAGGGATGTATCATTACACTTTAACTTTTCATTTATACTATTTATTTTATTACATAATAATCAAGGTCAAACATGAAAAATCTTTTTATTTTTATTTTTTTAATCTCCCTATCGAGTCAAAACTAAAACAAGAAACAAATTGTTTGGAATAAATTGGGTCAAATGACGCCATGTGCCAACGGCCATCCCTCAAACCTCGAAACTCTGTTAATGCATCTTTTCTATCTCTCTCTCTCTCCCTCTCTATTGACCAAGAGTTGGACTCCGGCGGCGGCGAGTATCGCCGGGAATTAAGTTAGACAGAGGCGACATTTGCGGAGCGCGCGGATGAATCCGATGAAGCGGCGAAGCGGATACAGAGGAGTGGCGCAGAGCCTGAGAGTGGCGGCGCGCGGATCAGAACCTGCAGGTGCCGGAAAACGAGTCGACTCGGCGAAGGAGAGGAATCGGCCGGCGAAATTGGAGAGGAAATTGGTGAAATACGAGGCGTTGCCGGAATATTTGCAGGACAACGAATTCATCCGAGACTACTACCGCTGCGAATGGCCTCTCAAGGATCTGCTCCTCAGCGTCTTCTCCCTGCACAACGAGACGCTCAATGTCTGGACGTGCGTGAGAGCAATTGCGAATCGTTTGATTTCGACAGAGATAATGTTTATTTAATTATTTATTCAGCCAGGTTTTGGTGAATTGGATCTGATGAATAGTATGTGTGATGAATTGCAGTCATTTGGGAGGAGCTTTGATATTTGTGGCGTTGACGGCGATGAGCTTTACGGAGAAATCCTCGCCGGAGAATCTGTTTGCTGCCGGTGTGTTCAGGTCAGTGTCAGAATATTCCATCTCGTCCTGCGCTCATTCTATTCGTGCCATAACTGTCTTTTTTTCATACCCTTTTTGTAATTGTATTTTTATCTACTCGCACTATACACCATTGTTTTTTTAAATCAATCCTCTCACGTCCATACTAGTAATACTATGCTGATTATAATAAGAATAAGTAATAAATAAAAAAAATAAGTTGAACGTTGCCTAAATTTGTATTCTCATTAATGAGAGAAAATAAATATAATACTCCGTATAATTATATTTGATCTTTTAATTTTAGCAAAAATTAGTAATGATGAGTTGATTATTATTGAAAAGTAGGCCAAATAGCGCTGATATCTCTCGTGGTTTGCAAAACAAGCATCAATACCCCCTTTGTTTTCAAAACTCATTTCTAAAGTCCATGTGGTTTCAAAATGTTGCACCCGTGCCCCCTCTAATCATTTTCCGACCATTTTTTCGGCGAAGAAGGGGGGCATTGGTGCACATTTTTTAAACCATAGGGAGTATCAGTGCTAATTTTTATTTAATAATGAATAAAATAAGAAACAAATTAATACAAAAATAAAAATGAATATCCTTTTTTGACATCTTAATTCTAAGAACTTTTTTAGGCGTGTCCAATTTTTTTTGTATAAGACTTTTTTGCGTATTTTAATTTTTTTCATTTTGTTTTTCTATACTTTCATTTTTTTATTCTTTGTTTTTTTGAACTTTCCAAAAAATTATTCTAAATAACAAAAAGTGAAAATATTTATTTTGAGATAGATGTAATGTATGTTATTTTTTTTATTTTCATTTCAAACACAAAGAATTTGAACATTTTTGAAACATTATAAAAAATTGAAAATATATTTAAAAAAATCTAGGAAAAGGAAAAAGAAATAGAAAATATTTAAAAAAGGGAAAGAATAATAAACAAAAATAAGGAATGAGCAAGAATGCCCCCTATGATATAGAAATTATGCACCAATGCCCCCTCTTCGCTGGAAAATGGCCGGAAAATGATCAGAGGGGGTGTGGGTGCAACGTTTTGAAACCACGGGGACTTTAGAAATAAGTTTTAAAAACAGAGGGGGTATTGCTGCCAATTTTCCAAACCACAGGGGGTACCGGAGTTATTTGGCCTTGAAAAGTATGATGTGATATTTAGGATACGAATTAGTAAAGATAAAAGTATTTTTTTAATAAAAAAAGTGAAACTGTTCTGATGCAAAAGAAAAAACTAAAGAGGAAGTATTTTAGGTAGTAGTATTTTACTATTTTGTTTTTTAATACCATGCCAGTTCTTAACTAGGGAGTAGATTGCATTGTCACTAATTTGGTTTCTTGATAACTTTTACTACGTATTTATTTGCATATTTTTTGTTGATTATTTGATAAAATAAAATAATTTTGTAATTACTTTTTGAAATATTTTTTTAAATAATTTTGTAATTTTGTATTTTATAGAAATTTTGATATAAATTTAAAAAAACAAATTTTATTTTTTATTTTTATAGTAATTTGTAAATAAACTATATTTCATATACGTATAATTTTTTTACATGATCAGATTGGGCAATCCATTTTAAAAAAAGTAGTGACAAAAAGGGTTTTTTCTATTGACATTACATGCGTAGTAGAATCTATCCCGAGAATCTAATTTTCAAAAATTATCAACAATTTTTTTTTGTTTTCAAAAAGAAATTTTAATAGGCGATTTTGAAAATCAATTTATTTTAAATAGAAAATCAAAATTAATCAAAAGCCAAAATCAAAACTGGTCATGCACTGTTAATTGTAAAGACGTTCAAAATTAGTTAATACTTAACTTCAATTATCAAAAACACCTCGTATGTGAACCTCTCCCGAGTACATCTATGTTTTTTTAATTACTAGTAATTTTTTATCCTTTTTCTTGCACAATTATGTTGAACAAAATAAAATGTACTACACTTCACAAACTTTTTTAGTACTGAAAGTTCAATTACACTGTAATATTTATTCACACAATTTTTAATCTAATGACACGCAATGAGTCAATACTTCTGCTTCATCTGAGACTCAAATTTTACCATAGATTTTGGAGAGTTGGCTTCTGACCGCTCGAGCTTAGAGACAAATAAAAAAATGAATAATCTTTTCTTATTATGTTAGTTTCGAACAATTGAAAAAGTATGAGGCTCCGTTTGGTACATGGAATTCAAACTATAGAATTGAAATTGAGAACCTCAATTCCAATTCTAGCGTTTGGTAGCACAAAAATTATGTGGATTTGGAATTGGTAGTGCAAAAAATGAATTGAAATTGTTGAATTCAATTCTATGGAATTATAATCCCAATTCAATTCCAAATCCTATCGATTCCGTATACCAAACGGACCCTGAGTAAATCTGATCCGGGTTTTAAAATGACAGATTGGAGAGGATGAAGCGCAACAAATCGGAATCTATTTACCCGGTGAGCTATTTTTCTCTGTACAGCATTATGCTCGAATATGCCACAATTTAAAACTTCATGATCATAAACTAGGCCACGTTTGGGTGAGTTGTGGAATTTTAGTTTTAAAAATGTGACCCAATTACTGCCTTAATACAAATATTTTATGAGGTGCACACGAAATTGTTTTCTAAAGCACATACATATGTTCTATATCCAGGATCATAATTATCACCAAAGGAACCTTATAGACTCATCAATCACAGACAATGTGAATTTTCCCATGTGGCCTTGGTTCATTTTCCTTGGAGGGGCAACTTGCTGTCTGGTACTAAGCTCTGTATCCCACCTCTTCGCCTGCCACTCACGGCGGTGCAACCTCCTCCTCTGGCGGCTCGACCAGTCCGGCATCTCGCTCATGGTTGTCGCCTCCTTCGTCGCCCCAATTTACTACATTTTCGATTGCCACCCGTTCTCCCTGGTCTTCTACTTCGCCTCTATCACCCTTCTCGGCACTCTTGCCGCCGTCTCCCTCCTCTCCCCGGCTCTCACCTCCGGCCGGTTCAGATCCTTCAAGGCCGCCGTCTTCCTCGCGCTCGGACTCTCCGGCATTGTCCCTGCCGCGCACACTGCACTCCTGTACGGACATCACCCCCAAGTTGCGGCGGCTCTTTGGTGCGAGATGGCCATGGGGGCGCTTTACGCGGCTGGGGCGGCGTTCTACGTCACTAGATTCCCGGAGAGGATGGGGCCCGGCAAGTTTGATCTCGTCGGGAGCAGCCACCAGATCTTCCATGTGTTGGTCGTCGCCGCCGCGCTTGCCCACTGCGTGGCCACACTTGTGCTCATGGATTGGCGGAGAGGATTGCCGCACTGTGGTGGTGCTTAATGTATATTTATTACGGAGTATCAATGTATCCCTAATTCCCTATGTATGCATGAAACATGGGACATTTTGGGAATTTACTCTTAATTAATTATTGGGAATTTACTCTTAATTAATTATGTATAGGAAGCATTGTGATTTACCATACTTCTTCTCATGAATTGATTTCTTCCACCCTTCCACAGGCAAATTCATTTTTCTTAAGGCCTCATTTGGTACAAGGAATTCAAATTATGGAATTAGAATTGAGGACTTCAATTCCATTCAAGTGTTTGGTAGCACGAATATTATCTGGATTTGGAATCGATAGTGCGAAAAATGAATTGAAATCAGTGAATTCAATTATATGGAATTGAATCACATGGAATCCCAATTCCAATTCAATTCCAATTCCACCAATTCCGTATACCAGACGGACCCTAATTGTTAAGAATTGGGAATGTTTGAACAGACTAAATTCATCAAATGAGGTAAAGCATCTAAAATACAGAAATACATTTTTGAGATAAAGTATACTCTGTAGAAAATGCTCCATAGTATTTAAGAAAGAAGGTAAAGGAGTCATTTACCTTAAATTTGGTCATTTCAGCAAAAAATGGTGCATCATTCTTTGTTGTCATTGCAATGTAGAGCAAGCATTCCGTTAGTATATTGACTCCGCGCCTCCCTATACTTGCCGAGCAGGGCGACATAGATTGGCTGCACATCCTCAAACACTACTCCGCTGCAGAAGTTTGATTTTACCTGGTCAAAAACAGCTTCTGCTTCGTCTCTATTCCGGCTAATAATCTCTTTGAAAACATCATTTGCATCTGCTAAATGGATACTAGTGATGTCCGATTCGTGTTCCTCCCCCCTTGGTAAATGCCGCAGCCATTTGAAATGAGAGAAGGGATCTTCTTGTTTCTGAACGGCTGCTTCAACATGCTTCAAGACATTGAAAAATCTTGACTCGCTCCTTATTTTACTGATCACGTAGCTGAAAATCTCCTTCTGGTTGATGAGGAGCCATTGAGAATGTTCAGATGCACGGGAGAGTGCACCAACCAAACAAGCCTTTCGGAATGTTGGGTCACTATCACCTAAAAGTTTCACTGCAGTTTGAATCAGGATTTCTGATGTATTATGCAAAACCAGAGATTCTGAATCTGCAAGTATATAATCACTCATCCTTTGCCTTCTACACCAATGGTAGAAGGCAACATGAGCGAAGCCTTCCCACCTGCACTCGCAATAACATGCATTCATCAATATGATTTTGAATTAAGTTAGGGTTCGAGAGAAATAACAGTCCCTCTTCATATAAATCTTTTTTTTAATGCTTGGTTTTACCTTGGATAATGCATATGAAAATGATATAGGATTAAGGTTTAAAATTTTTAAATTTTCAAATACACATAGATCTCAAAGTCTTCATATAATAGAAATAAAATGATATTGAATCAAATATTGAATTTTGAAACCATTTACCTCTACACCACAAAGAAGGGCACACAAAAGCACTTACTCAAATGGGGGTTCAACTTCAATGGAAAGAGTTAGATGCAAGGAAAACCCAGTGCTTGCATCACCGAAAGTATGCGCTTCGTGAGGGTACCCTCTGGGAATATATAAAATATCGCCCTCTTTCAGCAAAATTTCTTTGCATTGATCCATTGTAGACCTTTCCCTCTTCTCAATAGATTCATACAAGCGAGGCAAGTGATTATTGGACGGGTGAAAAATATTCCACCTTTTGGCCCCAACGAGTTGGCAGATAAAGACACAATGATCATCACTGTGACAAGCTAACCCCTGACTATGCGGAGGTGTCAAGTACATGTTTACCCCTATTGAAGGCTGACCAAATATAGATGCCACATCATCTGCAACAGAAGCAATGCCAGGAGATCGAAATCCTATGCCACGCAAAGCAATTGTATACTCCTTGTATGCTTGCTCACACTTTAGGATTTCAGCACTCCGGAAGACGTTGGGAAATTCATAGTTGCCATCATCTAGTTGTGTTTGGAAATAGTGCAGCTCAGATTCTGAATCAAGTGTTTTGACAACCCGAATATCCTCTTGGTGAACAATAGGACAGCCTAAACTATTACTTACATCGTTTAAGAAATGAAGAATGTCAAGTTCATCTGAAGGAATAGGTGGACAATGAATGAGCCCCCTTAGCATTGAAGATAGAAAGGAAGGGTCCGACTTCCGTAGTCTGTCAAAGTCTATAAAAGAACTGAACAAATTTTGCAGCTTAGAGTTTCTTACCAGAAAAGGTAATGATTCCCAATTCTTCAACACAAAATCTTCAAAGTTAATATCTTCTGCATCGAAAATCCCAATTGAAGGTCCTCTGCATGGAACAACATCAATGGAGAGCCTGAAGACACTTTCAGCCAAATTGTTAGTTCTGATATTGCTTATGTAAGAAGCTTCTTCTTGTGTGGAATTCTCAGAAATGCCATAAAGCATATGTTGATGCACTTCTTCCCACATCCTTTTCAAATGCAACAGTAAAGGCCTAGATAGTATTGTTGGAATCTTATGCAGCTGTTCAATTGTGCACGAGTTGACGAGAATTATGATAGCATTCACAAGCAATATTGATAATCCATTGTGCTTGAAAACAATTGTGGGACAGGTTTCAGTATATTTTGCATCTGCAAGCAGAGACACCACAGGAGTATATGATTTGGGGACCTGAAAGAGGCGAACACTAACTAATGATAAGTCAGGTGTTAGTAGATAATCTTATCGGACCATTAGTTATAGCTTAAAATTGTCTCCAATGAGATATACAAAGAATATTTTGGGAAAAAACACAAGAATTCTAAAACATTTCTTCTCCAAGATCAAATTATGCTTAATATGGGACAAGAAAATAAAAGATCAAGTAAAGAGGGCGAGCTAGTCACTAGTGAGAAAAACTAAACACGGCTCTCTTGCACCACAAAAATGCGAGCTAGCCATCATTGAGCAAGTTGGGGGAGGAGGGGAGTTCGAAGGGGTTGGCACAGGAGAATTGATTTTTTTTTCTCTAATTTATCTATGTTTGTTAATCTTAGATTAAAAAATCACTTTCTTTTCAAATTAGCTAATGTAGAAACAAATTAATAAAAAAAATATCAACCCCCCGCCCCCACAATTAAATATCCCCTAACCAAAAAGGGGTGAGTGAGGATGATGATACAATAGAAACATTTTATTATCAATTCTACAGTGACAAGCATGTCTGGATCAATTTACTTTTAATGCATATTAATGAAAAATATGGAGGGAAAAGCTACTCACATTAGATTTTCAATAGCAAAAAACTCCACGAGCCATTTTCGTCCTATCGACGTGGTAGAAAGATCCAGAATAGAGTTACAAGAAGCCATTGATCTGACATTATTAGAACTTCTCAACAAAGTAACCAATCCCTTCACAATCTCCCCTTCAGAAGCAATCTTTTCATTCATCTCAAAGGATATCAATGTTAAAGCTCCAACAATCTCCGCACTTTTGCATGCAACTTCATCATTTCTTTGGTTGAAAAAAGCACATCAAATGTCAGTGCATTGCTAAAGCAGCACATTGCACATGTATTTACTCGACAATACTTGCAACATGATGATGACAACAAACTATTTTACCATTTAGTTGTTTGTGAGTTGGGATGTGAGGGGATGTTTAATAATATACTAGCATTAACCTAAGATAAATGATGTGTTTATGGAGTCTTTTGGTTAGATCATTACAATTTACAAACCAGTTGAGTGACCCTAATCCAGTTATGAATAAGAGTTAAGGCACTGAATTCAATTCATTAGGCCCCGTTTGGTACACGGAATTCAAACAATGGAATTGGAATTGGGGACAAAAATTCCAATTATGCCATTTGGTAGCACAAAAATATGTGGATTTGGAATAGGTAGTGCTAAAAATGAATTGAAATCGGAGAATTCAATTCCATCCAAATCAATTCCACGGAATTTTAACTCCCAATTCAATTCCAATTATGTCAATTCCGTGTATCAAACGGACCCTTAGTGTAGTTTGGAGTGGGTAGAGTATGGTCCTCATTGACTGAAATGTATCACATCCAAAGGAAAATGAGACAGAAAATGTGCATTTGAAAGTAGATCACATTTGGAGAAAAAAACATACTTAATTATTGGACAAAATATCTATGAAGTTTCATTGAACTTCTCCATGAGTGCAAATTGTAATGACTCTAACACCAAATCTACTGAATCAAGCAACAATCTAATGGATAAAGCCATAAAACCTAATTAACAGAGAAGGAGACTTTGACATCTTACCTGGAGCTTAAAAGGAAGGGAATCAGGGAGAGGATTGGTGCGGAGAGGTTATGCGGAAGAGAGCGATGGAATTTCCTCAAGCATCGGTGAATGAGAGAGTAATTTTGATCTTCGGAGTTATTACTTCGGGAAATAGCCGCGAGAATTATTGCGAAGGGAGTGGCGTCGGATTCTGGGCGCCGCCGCCGCTTATTCTGCCGGGGGTTCTTTTGTTCCGCCTTCGCCTCCTCCATATTCCGGCGGTTCTTTGGTTCCGCCTTCACTTTTCTTCATAAATTCTGTTAGAGCGAGCTCAAGGTGATTGTCGGGGTTTTTTTACAGTTTACTGAGTGACTACTGAGTAAAAATAGCAAATTTTTTACTCACTTTTAGCATATTATTTACTCCATTTTTGTACTCCGGATGACTTTTTGTTTTTAAATTTTTTAAGCAAATTATCAAAATAGTGTTCAATAATTATGTACTCCATATTTTTTCGAAATAGTAATTAAGATGAACAATTACCGAGACGGTACTCGTTAATTGAAAACAATGTCCATTTAGTTTCCAGACTAATTGCCATAAAAAAGGTACGAAAACGATATTAAAACTTATACTTATTTTTCAAATTGATCATTTCTAATTGAATGTTTTTTAAAATTAGTCAATTTTGAAATAAAAATTAATAAAAAGTGGTCTCGTGAACTCGTTCAAACACCGTAAATCAATTAAAAATGAGGAATCATGCTTCGATTTTTCATATTAAATGAATTTTTAAATAAAAAATAGACTAATTTGAAAAAACATCTAATTATAGACGATCAATTTGAAAATTAGTATAATCTTTAATGTCGTTTTAACGACCATTAGTCGGAGGGACTAAACTGAGTGTTATTTTCAATTAATGAGTACCATCTCAATAATTAGTTTATCTTGGAAACTAATTTGGAAAAACACATAGTTAATGAGTACTATTTTGAGAATTTACTCTAAATTTTTAGAATTACTACTCCTCTTAAAACATTCTTGTTAGTTTCTATACAATCGGTCAAACTTTAATCATTTTTTTTACTTATTTTCGTTAATTATTTGATACTCCGTAAAATAAATTCAATCAAACACTATAAATTAAAACAAACAATTTAAACTGGTCAGAGAAAGTAATTAAATTTATATTTTTCACAAAACATGCTCCATTCTTAATAGTTTCAGACCAATTAATGTATTATTCGTTCAATCTTTTAATCTCAATCTTTAAAATACATGGACGAAACTCGAATACTCGACGTGTAGAAACTTGGAGTGGCTTCTTTACCACTACCCCAAGATGCTTCCACCATAAACCATGTTCTTGTAATCTTGTACTACATATTGGCCATGTTTGGAAAACAGCATTTGGGATAGCTTTTGGCATCTTTGACTGACTTTGGCTTTTTTGACCGAACGAACCGCCAAAACGATTGTTTGGCTAATGGCTTTTTCACTTGGCATTTTGATCCGAAAAGCCAAAATCTGAAATGCCAAGGTGAGTAGCATTTGGACTTGGCGGTTAGGAAAAATATTTTTTTTTAAAATCATTTTTGTTGAAAGATATTTTATAATATATGTAAAAGATAAAAATAAAAGTTAAAAAAATTAAATACGAAAAAATAAAATGAAATTAAAAAAATTATATTTATAATTCATTAAAAAATTTATATTTATAATTTATTATGAATTAAATGAAATTAAAATTTAATATTCCATATATTAAAGATTTAACTTTTACATGTAAAAAAATGAAAAATAAATATCATGTCTACACACACACACACACACACACACACACATATATAATTTTTTATTTAATTTTTTTAATTTAAAAAATATATATTTATGATATGATATTTAAAAAATTGTAAAATAAAATATACCATAAATGGAGGGATGTCATTTTATGTAATTTTATTTACAAACAGCTAACTATAAACAGCTAAAGTTGCCAAACACTTAAAATTTAACTGCTAACAGAAACAGCCGGTCAAAATAGCTAACTCAATCAGCCATTCAAATCAGCTAACATAAACAGCCAACAGCCAACTGCTAGTATCCAAACAAGGCCATTTATAAAAGGGAGTCCATATAATTCCTCTATCTCGCACAAGTATGTTCTCTTGTCAGTCAGTTAAGTCAGGTTCAAGTTACTTCGGATTCGGGTCAATTCGTGTTCAAGTAGGAAACTGTAAGTTCTTGATCCAATGTCATCGAGTTCGGATCGATCCAACGAGTTATAACTTTAATTTTTAAAATTTTTAAATTCATATTAACACCTACATTTCGCATTAATTAAAATTAAAATATTAAAAAATATGTATTAAATCTATTATGTTACAATATTTTATTATAAATTCTTGAATTAAATTCTACGTATATACAATATAAAGAATAAAAAAATGCATAACTTTCAGAAAAAAACAAGTATGCAATATCAATAAATTTTATCCGAAAATATAAATTTATACACTAAAAACAAAGAGTAAGAAAAATACATATAATTAGAACCTTATTTTTATAACATTATATTTGATAGTAAAGTATATGATTTTGGAAAAAAATTAATATTAGCGGGTTGGTCAGATCGAATTCAAAATCGATCGGGTTCGACCCGTTTTGAGCAGTTCATTTCAGGTTCGGTCAACAAAACTTTTGTTCAAAACCCAGTAATTTTTAGTCGGATTTCAGGTCAAAAACAGGTCAGATCATTTTTTGTCAGGTCTAGTCTCTCGTTCAGATTAACACACTTGAAAAATGCACCTAGTAATAACTGTAATATAATATGAATAGAGTATATGATAGTGATCTTTTTGAAACATAACTCCATATCTTGGAAGACGTAAACAGTCTAAACCCCAAGATATAAAATGAATGAATATAGACCAGGTAATATCATTGGACTTCACCAAGACAAAATGAAGAGGAAAAGGTTCTGTCCTCTGAATCAAAATTATTTCAAACATAATCCTAAGTTTCATCGCCTTAATGTTACACAAGAGGGCTAAGGATCATACACGACATAAAAGATTAAATGAAACACTTACTAATGTGAGATTCATTCATTTCAAACTCTGTCTAAAGCCATGCCTTTCTTTTTCTTTGATAATTTAGATGACGGTTGGAAGCCATTGTGCTCACTCGCAGCGAATTGGGCAGCTGTGCGGGCTCGCAGTTCCTCTAAGCTCTCGCCTTCTTTGGCTCTTTCCATAACCTGAGATGAAAGAAATAAACAATAGGTTAACATAAAACTGCACAACAAATCATGAAATTGTGTGCGTTGTATTTTTTTCCGAGGGGAGGAGGGGGGGGGGTTACCAGATGGCGCCCATAAAAGTGAGTACTAGAAAGGGATTCAAAGGCGTTTTGGGCTTCTTGCTTCGTAACAAATTCTACAAATGCAAATCCTCTATGGCTTCCAGACCTCATTGGTAACCTTAAGCTCTTTATCTGTGGGTGAAAAGCATTCCATAAAGTTAAACATAACATGTAATACAGTAGTATATGTTAGAGTATTCTTAACAACCGAAGAGTAAAGCATAATCATAACAAACGGAAATTGAAGTTGATTCTTTAATGCATTGGGTAGAAAGGCAAGAGAATAAAAGAATACTACGGAGTACTCGCCAAATTGTAACACTGCATTATTTCGTAAGTACAAATTATCTTTCATGACAAACTAAATTTTATTAGAGACTATATATCCTAGCTCAGATTGGAGTTGTTTTTATTCTAAATATCAAGCTTTATATCCTGCACATAAAAAGATGTGTACGAATAAAAAAGACAATTTTACCTGGCCGAATGGATTGAACAACTGCCTTAGTTCTTTCTCTGTTGCCTCAAATGCAACATTTCTCACAAGCAATTTGGTTGAGCTCTTGTCCTTCTCAACTTTGCTTAATGCTTGTCCTTGTCTGTCCTTAGCATGACAGAGTTGCAAAATCAGGGCATGTCCGTCTAAAATAGTGCCCTAAAACAAGAAAGAACAAATCACCAATTAAGTACATGTAGCAAATATGCTTAGATAACCATTGAACTTGAACAACAAAATTTTTTTTACGGAAAAACTGCAGGGATGATATATTACCTGTAAATCCCTGCACACATTTATTGCAGTATCCACAGAATCAAACTCAATAAATCCAAAACCCATTGAAACAATCTTCCCATTCTTTGTATGCTTTTTCACCTACCAAACATTTGAGAGTGGTAAAATCAAATACTTCAAAAAAATTCAAAGAATCCCCCAACAAAATTTCCAGTTGGATAGTAAAATAGCTAGCAAACAGAGGTCATGTAGATGTACCCTGGCACTTATTATTTTTCCGTCTTTCATGCTTCCATTGAAATGCTGTTTTAAGCTCTCATCAGATGTTTTGAAGTTCAAGTTCTTCACATAGAGTGACCTTGACTGTAGTGCAGGAACACATGGAAAAGATGAGCAATTTAAACAGATAACAAGCCAAGGAAATACCAGGATGTTTAAAGAACTGGGAGCATGTTTGGTACGAGGAAACGGATAACAAGGGAATTTAATTTATATTCCACGGAAAAGAATAAAGTAAGATTTCAAATTCTATTATATTTGAAAAGGAAAAAAGATCCAAAAACGGGAGGTATATTGCTAAGATACAAGAATGACGATGAGGCCAGTGTTACAATATCTATATTAAAAAACTAGACTCAGCATATGCTCTTGAAAAGAAACGTGCAGTTCAAGATTTAAGAAGATACCTCCACTCTGTCAGGATCAACATCAGCATCAGTTGTACTTTCTAATTGGTGCTCTAGTAAAACTTTTTTGACATCTTCGCCGCCATCGCCAACAATCATAGTATTATCTGAATCACCTGTTTGATCAAGAATATTGCCAGGAGCCCATTCCAAATACAAAGGAGCATCCCTGTATTGAAGAAATTGTACAGCCAAAATTTATAGTTTTTGTACATCAAATCATTTATAAATAAATACTCCGTGTGTGTTAATGAAAGTTGACTTTTAAATAGTTCCAAATTCTAAATTTGCAGGGGGCAAGAAAACTTCTTGAGACTTGACTCGTTTTTTAGTTTATTATTTGTTAGGAGGAGGAGGAGTCTGATACTCCGGTCAGGAGGCGCGAGAGGTTAGAGGTTAGAGGTTAGAGGTAGAGAGTTAGAGGAGGGGTAGGGCTAAACCCAGGAAGAGTTGGAGTGAGTAGACATGACTTAAAACTTTGAGCATCTCACCGAGAACGAGACCTTAGATAGGAAAGCTCCGAGGCCAAGGATTAAGTAGTAGAGTAGGGCCAGATATGAGTTCTCGGTGTATGTAGAGCTTTCAAGATTAGTTAGATGTAGTTTAGGTGTTTGCTTGGCTTTTGTCATTTTCTCCTTGTGATTTTCCTAACATTTGAATTACACTAACATTTGTTTGTGTGCATGAGATGAGGATCTTTTGGAAACAACTTCTCTACCTATTTTAGGAATGGATGCAAGCTTGATAAAGACCACTCTTCAACCATCTTTCTTTAGGTTCGATGAAAAGAGAGGATGGACTCGATGGGTTGAACATAGTTACACTCATTTGAAACAAATCCGCCACCAAAAAAAGCATTTGTTCTGATTCTCTCATTTTAGTTTTTTATTAATCAATCCAAAAAGCTACCCAAATTTCCAAAATCAAATGTTGGCTAGTTTTGGAACACCATTTGTTAATAGCATTAGCGTTTTGGATGATTTTTAATGGCACAGACATGTTTATTAACTTTGAAAATGCTAATGCTAAAAGTTATCATTGGATGTCATTTTCAAAATGCTAAAGCTAATGCCCAACGGACCCATTATGCCTAAACAAAAGTAGAATGCTATAATGGGACGTACTTTTGTTTCACAATTTTGGAGCTCTAATGTACAGCCTCTACAATCTTACAAACCAAATTGGATATAGCACGATTGAATCTTAATATATATGCCATGAAAACATGAAAATTTAGACCAGATGGAGTATAAGAGAAAAGATTGAACTTATAAACTCACTTGAAGCGTTTGTATGCTAACCCCCGGAAAGCTGTGCGTGCCTCAGCTGGTTCAAGGAAGACCACCTGTAAAATTATGAGAAAATTTATAAGAAAATAAATTATACATGGAGAGCTACTTTGTAAAACCTTAGACTCAATGCCTTAGAAAAAATCACCTAGAGCAAAAACTAAAATACTAATAGAAAGAGAAGCTGTCATATTCAAAATGTAACAAAAATCTAGAAATGAAGAGAAAGAAGACATACCAAAGCCAAAGTCTTAGTTGGAGGAAGAACAACTTTATCTATGCCTCCAAATTTCCCAAACATACTTGCAAGTTCACTTTCAGATGAGCTGTAAGGCAAGTTCTTTACTAGTATAACATGATTGCTTCTTTTGATATTGTCAGATTTCCCAGCAGCAAATTCTTCCAGAGAAGAAACATTTATTCCAGCTTTCACTAAACTTTGTTTTGTATCAGCAATAACTTTTGTTTCTCCTAAGGCTATACGTACGGCAAGATCGGAAGCTTCTTTATCTAGAAGATCAGATTTACTAACACCTAGTCTCCTTGCAATATTTTCCACAACCTTTGAACAAATGCGATCAGAGGAAGTTCAAAATAAAACTCAGCTATTGTAAAATCTGGTATAAATACTATGGAGAGGATTTACTAATATGGAGTAATAAAATTGAATAACATATCAGGTTGTCAAGGCCAACACCCACTGGTAAGGTTGAAGCATTGTCCCATTCATAGATCATTATTATAAAGATTTATGGATATACTACGGCTAAGATCCTAAAGTTTTACTTAAATAATGTTATTACATGCAGATTTTACTAAAAGCAAAATTTATAAAAACACAAGGAATAAACAACATCCTAATTCAATCATGCTTTAGACTCCATTATGTTTCAGACTTCAATACATCAACATCCACACTTACGGCACACATTGTCAACACACCAACAACTCGGTTGGGGGCTTGGGGGTCAACCTAAGCAAAAATCTGCAGTGTACACACGACACATATATCTCAAGTGAAGTGTGTGTGTTTATGTTTGGTCATTAACAAAAATGCTCTCTCCCCATTTCTTTTAATTTATAATCACACTCTTGCTCAAATCCAGATAAAAAACCACTCTTAATCGCCTCCTCCTAAATTTACTTGCATTATGGCCTCGAGCAAAACGTGTCTGTTTTGCAGCCTCCCCATTATTGGTTTGGCAGGACATACTATTTGGACGTGGAAACTCTCTGATTTTATTGAAGTGATGGACATTGGTGGGTTAAGGAAATGGGGTGAATGGTTCAGCTACCATTTCGGCCTAATTTTTTGTGAGAATTCTTGTCTATATTCATGGACGGTGCCAGTTTGTCAAATGCTGTGTTCTCCAACCAAACCAAAATAACAGGTGCATGACTGACGATGGAAGGTATGAAATTAGAATTGACATCAAATAAAGCAAACCATAATACTTCAAGAACTAAGTCTCTAATACAGCTCATGAACAATAACAATTATTTTCCCCTTCCTAAGAGATAAACTCCCTAAACTATTAACTATTTATAAAAAAGCACTGCCAACTATATTCCAACTAAATTCCTAAAATAAAGAAAAATGGAAGTTAAGGGTCCACATAATCTGCATGATGGAAGTAATACTCTCATGTGATTAGTACAGGGCTCCTATTTTCTATGAGATGTATCATTATTATCCTAGTCTTATTAAGTGACATAATGACATCTACTAGTTCCTACTTTGTCAAAGGTAGGGCCTCTTGAATGTGAGTAATGCCAATCAGGAAAGCATGAAAAGGCTCCGTAACCCAACAAGTCAACAGCCATGTTATCAGTTCATCTTTTTAATACTCCGTATCAAATTGTTTTCCAGCTTCAACCACTTTAGAAATTAAAACAAGAGTTGAATATTATAGCAGCATCTACAGACCAAATTTTTAGACTACTGGATAGAATCAATCCAAAGCAGATAATTTTCATGAAAATTGAAGAGATAATAATTAACAGGCAGCATACTGTATCTTGGCGCATGAATAGAGTGTTCCATGCTTGTGTATTTCCACTCGCTTCAGATGCCTTCCTATCTTCCAGTCTTTGATCTTTGAGTGTTTGTGACGATTGTTTACCAGACCCATTGACCCTGCAGAATAATTCATTAAAAAACATAACGCATAGAGCAACCATCATTCTGGATAAAAATATTGAAACAGTGTTGCGATGTTCTTGTCCATTTGATGCAATAAAAACTGAACTACTGAAGTAATATGTAACACAAGTAGAACAGATAAACCTATATCAGTGCACATACTCTTGGTTCTTAGAAGAAATTTTTTGCTTCGCTGGCATAACATGCAATAATCTTCCTTGAAATATTGAACCGTCCAGCTCTTCTAATGCCCTGATATGATCCACAAGAGAATTTTAATACCTTAACCTAGAAGCATGTGCATATGTATGGTATAATACTTCTTCTGTACCATTCAATATTACAACGCTTCTCCATAAAACTTTAAATCCTTTAGCCATTAAAAAAATTTGCCATAAATATGTAGCGTAAAACTACGGTGCAGCCAATAAGAGTAAATTTAGACCATTTTATTGTGGCATAAGATATGGATTGAAAAAATAATTACCTAGCTGCATCTTCTGGGAGAGAGTAAAGAATATATGCAAACCCCTTTGATTGCCTCGCTTCTTTATCTACAACGATATGAACTTCTGAGACACTACCATATTTGCTGAAATGCTCTCCCAGTTCATCTTCCCTGAAATATCGAAGGCATTAAGAGAAAAGAGGATTAACCAGTATTAACCACAACATGCACTTCATACCAAATACCTCACAAAAGTGCAAATATAGAAGTGAGAATAACATATGTTTTTACAGTGAATAGCATATTCTAAATAACGCAAATCCATACGTAGTAGAATAAGGCAAGTTGCGGATAAACAGGCGTCCACTCTCAAGAATAGCTTCTTCATCTTTGTTAAGTGAAGGATCACCTGATTCAAGCATTTCACCGCTAGACTCTACAGACTGTCTATCAGTGCCCTCCTTTTTGTTATCATCAAACTCATGGGCATCTATACCATCACTGCTCTTTCTAAATGAAGTTTCTTCTTCCTCATTGCAGTCTTCATCACCATCATCATCTTTATCTTCATCTTCATTTTCATCTTCATCACTATTTTCTGAACCTGACCAGTCCTCCTTTACTCTTCTTTTGAAATAATCCATATCTGACACAACATCATCATAGACAAAACTCTTTGGTTTTTCAGCATTGTAATCATTAAATGGCTCTTTATATTTATCATCATTGTCACTATTCGTCTTGGCAGCAGTTTCCTTCTGCATTTGACATTTCTTCTCAATTGGCTTTTTATTTTCCGTGAGAGAGGGAGCTACAGTTGAGTCATTTGCCCACATCTTAGATTTACTTCGAGGTTGCATAACCTCGACAAACTCTTGAAATTTAGGGTCATCATTTTCACTTTCCTCAATGCACAACTTATTGTCCCCTTCTAACCCTTTATTCTTTTTATTTTTTGAGGATGGTATTTCCTTGTCTACTTCACATGGCATCTCTTTCCTTTTCAATGAGTGTCTACTCCATGGGCGTGGGGCATTTAGATCACCAATTTTCCAAGCAATCTGCCATAGATATTAATGTGTAGTAAGGATTTGGGGAGCACAAACCAACCTACAAGATTATGATTAATATGCAAGAGAATTGTCCAGAAGCATAGAACATTAAAAAGTTTCTCAATGTTTTCTACACTCTCTGAAATGAGAGATGTGTCATGATGATGATGATGATGATAATAGAAGTAGTTGTAGTAATAATAATAGTACGAGGTTTGATATGACCCAAGGTTTGACGGTCAAAAGAACCGTTTTGATAATAGCAATGTCACAAAAGAATCAACATTTTAGAAAAGTTCATATTCCATACATATTAATAATCTTTATAGAATGACATTTTATCCTTATTTAAGTTCAATATGAAGCAATTCTTTCCTAAAAGTTTTTACTATACGAAGTGTTAATATGGCACAGTTTCAATTTGCAAGATTAATATAAAAACAATATACAGCAAGGATCAAGTGGACTGCTAATCTATTAACATCTACACCCTCAGAGTTTCTCTCTCTAACCATGGGGAAGAGAGGGCGAACACCGAAAACGGACGGAAAGGCGACCGGAGATGAAGTTTCAACGACGGAAAAGACACATAATGAGAGATTAAGTACTAGTTTCAAATTTAATCTCAAAATTTGTAACTAGTACTTAATCTCTCATGTACTAGTGGAGGAAAGTTTGCTTAAAATAACCAATATGAGCAAGGGATTCTTCCCTTTCAGATACCTTGGTGGCCCTACAACATCATCTAGAATAAGTGATAAAGAATGTGACAGACTAGTGGAGTGCATGACCTAGAAAATCACTTCTTGGAATTCAAAGCACCATTCTCATGCTGGAAAGGTCCATCTGATTAACTCGGTTTTATTTGGGATCATAGGATTCTGGAGTAGATTATTCATAATACCTACAAAGGTTATGAAAAAGATCCAATCTCTTTGCAAGAACTTCCTTTAGAGCTCTTCACATGAATATAAAAGGCACCCCTTAGTTGCTTGGGATGAGGTCTGCCTACCAAAGAATAATGAGGGATTGGGTATAAAGAATCTTGTATTGTGGAACAAAGCAAGTATTATGAGGTTGGTCTAGGGCATTGCACAGAAGAAGGATAGGCTATGGATTAAATGGGTTCATGGCAAATATCTCAAAGACAATTCTATTTGGGATTGTATAATAAAAAATGATTCTTGCTATTACTGGAAGAAAGTGATTCAAGTGAGAGATTGTTTTAGGGGGATGCAGAATGATTTACCCTACACTCCAAATCAAGGGTATAAGTGGCTTGTGGGACAAAAACAGATTCCAAGCTGGTATGATGCTGTTTGGAATAAACTTTCTATACCCAAACATAAGTTTATACTATGGCTTGTGTGTAAGGATAGATTGCAAACTAAGAGAAGACTTAGTAAATTCCTCTCCATTGATACATGTTGTACACTCTGTAAAAAGGAGAGCAAGACTCCCAACACCTTTTCTGCAGATGTCATTATGCAAAGGCCATTTATATGAGGGTCTGTACCGGGTGCAATTATAAGCTTGAAGGGGGCACCATTGAGGATATCATTGAGAAGATGAAGAAACTCACAACAAGCAAAAAGAGATGGAAGATAATGGCAGTATATGCAGCGTGTGTATATGTTATTTAGAGGGCAAGGAACCATCAGCTACGTAAAAATGAGTATTCCCTGAAGACGAAGCTACACGCTGGATAATCTTCCAGGTTACCACATTTCTTAATTACGGGGGAGCTAGTAGGTGTTAATTAGCTTGTGAGGAATATGAGAATATCCTAGCCTTGGGGTTTGTGTAGGAGACTTCTTGTCTATATCTGGATCTTGCTGTAACGTTGATTTGTGGTGATTAATATCATTTTGCTTTCGGTTCAAGAAAATATACAGCAAGGTTGGAACAAAACAATGGATACAACAACACATCATATGGGATGTATCCTTCTCATTAAAATGGTCATATTTCTCAACTTGTTTTGTCCCATGAACTGAGTCCTATTTCTCAGCTTGTTAAACATATAGCCATATAGGTATTCTTAGCGCTATCTATGTGGTGTACCTTGCAAAAACTTAAGGAGTGGGACTCTTTTTATGGGGAAGAAGGGAGTATAAGATAACACTGATGCGGCATACTAACAGTATAAGCATGGTTATTCAAACCTCGCAAGTAATTTGAGAAGTATCCATGAAAGACCTGTTGAAGTACTTGATTGCTTCATTGGCTTCTTGCTCTGTCCTAAATCCAACGAACCCGAACTGTCTACTCTTCCCATCTCTACTCAAAACATCAATCATACACGAGATGTCATACATGAATCCAATCAAATCGGCAAATCTAAGAACGAAGAGTAGAAATGCACAAAACCATATACAGAGAACGAAATCAGTGATCTTACGAGGTGCGCATGAGCTTGGCGTCAGTAACTTCTCCCTTTTGGGAGAAGAACTCTCGTATGCGGTCCTCCGATACATACTTGGGTAAATTCTTCACGCAAATACGAGACCTTCATGAAAAGTTAGGGTTCTTCGCTCATTATAGTTGTAGACATAGATTCAATTGCATAGAAAATTCAGGATGAAAGTCGCGAGCTTACATTGCTTTGAATTTGAAGGCTTGAAATAGTTCTAGACGATTTTCCGGCGGCCGACGGCTGGGGGCGAATGGAAGAGTTTTTTTTTTTTGAGTTCCCGGGGCCAATAAACCTCAGATGCTGCGGTGCGGCGCTGCTTCGTCAATCTTCTGTCTTCCGTTTGCAGTTTTTTTCTCCTAATATGGAACGACGTCGTTTTTAAAAAAAAGTTAAAAAGCACCCCGTATATATAAAATACTCCGTAATTAAAATGCAAAGAATACGGAGTATATCATAATGCACGGGTAAATTTTAGTGGTATCTTTAGCTGAAATTTATACTACCTAAAATTCAAATCCTTTTAGAAAAGTCCATGAACTTACACAATCCTTTCACTAAAAGTCTATTTACCCGTTTCTATGTTAACTTCCGTGCATTTGGGCCAAATTAGAATTTTATACTCCTTCCGTCCACTATTAAAGTTCCCGGTTTGACCGGGCACACACATTAAGAAAATGTAAAAATTTCCTTGACTTTCCCAAAATACCCTCCACCCTACCCCACTTCCCCACCCATTTCTATCCTGCCCAAATGACTGCCCCCAACCCAACCGGCCAGAACAAATTTCCGACGACCGATCAAATTTCAGGCCAGAGAAGATCCTTCCTCGCCGCCGATCTCCATACAGATCTGAATCGGATTTCTCAGATCTGATAGATATATGAGCAATTGAATCGAAAAGAGGAAAAGAAATAAGAAGAGATGAAAATGGAGTGTGGCTGGACCAAATCCGAAGGGTGGAGGTGAGATGAAAAGAAAGAAGAAGAAGAAGAAGAAGAAGAAGAGAGGAAGGAGGAGGAGGAAAAAAAGGTCGAGGAATCGGAAGAGGGGGGAGAAGAAAAGAGGGAGGAAGAAGAAGGAAATAAGAACAAGAAGAAAAAAGAGGAGAGAAGGAAAATCGGAAGAAGGAAGAAAAAAGAAAAAGAGGAGAGAAGAAAAATCGGAAGGAAGAAAAAGGAGAGAAGGAATTGGAAGTTTCTGGAGAAGAAGAGAAGAGAGGACAAGAAAAGGAAAGGAGAAGAAAGAGAAAGGGAGGGGGGCTGCCGCAGGAAGAAACAAGAAAAAAAAGAAATAGAAAGGGTATTTAGGTCATTTTAATAAAGAAAACTTACTAAAAAAGGAAATGGTAATATTATATATGGACGGACGAAAAAGGAAAATGGGAACTTTAATTATGGACGGAGGGAGTATATTTTAAAATTTTCAATTTGACTCCATTTCTTTTTTTTCTTTTCTTCCGCTCCCCGCCGCCGTCGCACCACGTCAAAGTCACCGGACTAACGCCGTTCTCTTCGTCTTGAGATGAGGATCAAGAATATCCAAATCATTTTGTCCAATTTGGCCTGCAACTCCTCGAATTTGAATTTTTCCACTCGAAAAAACCCTAAAATCTGAAATTTAGGGTTTTTGCAAATCGCTATCAAATCTTGCAATTGAGGAGTCCTAGAGGGTCGCCGAGATGCCACGAACACTTTGGAGGGGATGAACGACGTCAATTTCACCGGAGGTGGCCGGAAAACGCTCTGACCCGCCGGAAGGAGGCGGCGTTTTCCGGCTACATATTTTAAAAAACAATTCTTCCGTTTCAAAATATTCATCTATTTTAACTTTTAACTTTTTTCAATCAAATAGAAAGGTAATTGTCAATTACTGTTCATACCATGTAAATATGCTTTGCATATTCATACAATTTACTCCCTCCGTCCTAAAACTTTCTTCCCACTTTCCCTTTTTCTTCGTCCTAAAACTACATTCCCATTAGAAAAAAAAGATAACAAATGACATTAATACCCTCATGTATTTACACCAATTATCTTCTAACTCTATATTTTAAATGATTGTAAAAAAATTTCAAAAAATCTTTTTTAAGGAGGGTAAAATTTGAAGTCAAAGCCAAAAATTGAAAATGAAGAAAAATCAAACTGAAACGAAAGTTTTAGGACGGAGGGAGTAATTTCTACTACATTTTTTATAAGATAACTCTAATGATTTTTTACATTTTATATCTTCCAAATAGAGCCAACTCCTTTTATCCAAACCACAATCCGAACCATAAGCTTCATCACAACAATGGCTTCTTCTCTAATCTCAGCCTCCCACTGCTCTCCGGCGTTCTACTTCTGCTCGAGAACGCAACCGCTTATCCCGTCGCGAGTCTCCGCCGTCCCTTCTCCGTTCACCGGCAAAACGCCCGCCCTCAATCTCAGCTCCTCGAACGCCATCTCATCCCTCGCGCCTGTAATCATCCCCCGATTGCCCTCTCCGCTGCAGAAAACCCCGCGCCGGCTCACCCTAGTCTGCGCGAAAGGGTACAAGATGAAGACGCACAAGGTGATTTTGTCGGCGATCCAGAGAAGTCCGATTGCATATTTTTGTGTGCGCTCGAATCAGTAGTTTTTTTTAATGGGGATTTGCAGGCGTCGGCGAAGCGGTTCAGGGTGTCCGGGAGCGGGAAGATAATGAGGAGGCGAGCGGGGAAGCAGCATTTGCTCAGGAAGAAGAATGCTAGACGGAGATTGAGACTCTCCAAGATGGTTTCATCCTCTTCTCCTACTTAATTTTTTTTCCTGAACCCTTGTTTGAGTTTTGATTTTTTAGCCTCAAATATTGGTTCCAATTCAAGAAATCACCCAAAAATAATAGAGAAAATGTCAAAACAATAGTTCCATGTTTTTTAATCTCAAAAATAGAGTCTGTATTGTGATAATGTGATACTGCATATTAGTATTACACTGTATTTTTTGGTGTCGGGGGGTGCGTTCGGGTCGGGGCGGGGTGGGGGGTTTATCGGGGGGTTAGGGGGTAGGAACCGTCAATTTTACGAACGGGGCACCGGAGCGCCCCCGGGTCATTCCATGACATTGGTTCCCAATGTCATGGGAACCAAGCCCTTTTTGGTGTTATATGTTGATATTATTGACATTATAACTCTTATTTTAGGAATAAAAGTATGAAACTTATATTTTGTTATTTTCTCTTTGTTTTATTCCTATTTTAGCATTTTTTTCCTTACTCATTGTTATTTCGTCGTGACTATTATGATTTTCTGGATACATATAGTAAGCACTCCCCGTTATTGTTTAGTGAGTCATGATGGTCTAGAAATGCATGGATGAAGACACGATGTATATCGATGTTCATTCAACTTTTGATGTAACGTAAGTCACAATGGTTAATTGAAAGAAAATAGGAGTAAGTAGCTAGAGAGGTTGATTTAGTAGTTTGGATTGTATTTAGTTTGTTGTTGTTGTGGTCTGCAATGTGGCTACATGGAAATGTATGTGCATCCTAAGGAGGCATACATAGCCTCACATCAAACCTGTTTGTGCATTTTCTAATGTGGTTGGTTTTGGCATGTAACACACATATATATAGGTACAAGTAGATCGCAGTGACTACAACAATGTGATCGGTGCATTGCCTTATCTGAAGGTGAATCGCGCGAATTAGGGCTTCGACAGCGATACGAACATTTTCTGATGGTGTACTTCCCCTTGCAGTAAATGGATGCAAGTTTATTGTTTTAGAGATTCATGTACTGATACTATTGGATATTTTAAAGCTTCCAAATGTACCTAAAGCAAATGCCATTCTGGTTGAAGTTGTAATGTTCTCAAGCATGATTTGAATGAGCTTTGCCTTCGGCGTTTGTATCTATCTACTACCATCATTTTACTTGAAAACAAATTACCTCTCTTCCATTCAAAATTTTCGAACCACTTTACAATTAGGGCACAGAGTAATAATTTAAAAAATGGATGTATAGGAATCTGCTAGGGAAAAAAAACTTAAACGGCTAATGCGCGAAGAAATTCAAGTTATGAAACTTGCACATAAGACACAAGGAGGATCACAAGACCGTTCATCGGGTATAGAGTAAGCAAAACATTCATTGTGGAAAGAATGGCCGCAATGCAAAACAGCGACTTCGGGGTAATTCAATGTTCCCAACTCTTCTTCATACCCATAATATTCTGATTCGTAGTCTGATGGCACATAGGAGAGATCTTCCTCACATATACCACATGTCACTCCAACCTTATTTAGTTTTCTTGATAAACCTGCAATACATGAGCACGTATCGTTAGTCATGGCACACCATTACAATTGATGTGTATTATGTGATGTGTGGAACATTCTAACTTTGACGAACAAATATAAGCGAACTAATAGCTGAAAAGACCTGTTTGGTCTGGGTTATTCTGCTCATTGAGCTAATAGAAAGAAACGCCGTTTGTGGCCGATGAATAAAGCATAGTTAAAAGGGAGTTGATAGTTTATAACATCTCTTCTGGATAAAGATTTCAATACCCTAAGTGTTATTGTTTGCTAAAAGTATTGGCAAGCTAACTTTGAAATATGAATTGACACAGATAGGTTCAAATTGATTTTATTAAAAATGTGTTAAAATGGACAGTTAAAGAAGCTTATTTGAATAATTTTATTGATAGAAGTTTATCGAAAAGTCTAAAAAGCTAATAGTTAGCTTATGACTTGCCAGATATAGCCTTATATTGCCGACATTGACGTATTGCTGCAGAAGTGGGAGTGCATATGCCTAATTTTTAAAGTGAAAATCCAAGATGCAAATGTATAGAGCATTTTACTTAATCTAAGAGAACTTACCAGCACATTCGATATGGTAGATGGGCTCGTTACTCAGGATGTCCTTTGTCAGCGAGGAAGACTTCTTACCGCTTGTGGATGGTCTAGACTGACTTCCAGATATGGGTGTTTTCCCCTTTTCCAACGAAGTCTGCTGAGGCGTTGAAGTTCCCGCAGCTGTATTGCTTTTCTTACTTCTTGGGGTCACTTTGGTTGGAGGAACAGGAGAGGCTTTTATTTCTCCCTGCTGGAGATCTGAAGTCTTTTGGGATCTGCTTCTTCTGACCTCAGACAAAAAATCTTTGGTGGGTTGAGAGGTTTGGGCTTTGACTTTATCCTCCTCTTTAGGGGCAGAAGTGTTTCCATTTTGTTTAGTAGTAGACTTGGACCCTCTATTGGCTGAATCTGCAGTTTTCTCTCTGCTTTTGCTATTTTGTTGTTCATTAGTTTTCGGTGGCAATGTAGGCTTATTCTGAGGAGTATGAGGTTGTCCTGGTAGCACCAACAAAATTAGATGAGCATTAAAAGGGACATAACTCGCAATAAAAGAAAAAAAGTATGCGAATGAGCTTGTTCAATTCATGCCATCATTGACTCTATAGTGTCAATTAAACGATGAATCCTCTAATGATATTGAGCAAGTAAAGCGGCATGTAATAAAAAAATAATCTGAGATCTAATAAAATTGCAAATAGTTAAACTAAAAGAAAAATGGCGATCCTTATATTGATGGTAACAAACAGGCCTCATACGAATTTTGAACCAGAACAAGTTCGAGCGACCAAATTATTGTTCCTAACACACGTGATACTGCAAACACTTAAAGTCCAACTCAATAGGTAAACCTATGGTTCGAGCGATCACATTGCTAGAGATGATTTTTTTAAATAAATAAAATTAGGTTTCCGGTGCAGAGAATTGCCAGAGGATATCAACACTGCAAACGAGTATCACACGAAAATGCCAATGATATCACGAGTTGTGTCACAGATCATTGATAGATAGATAAGAGTGA